GGCAGTTTCAGTAAGTGAGAATGGGGAGGAAGAAAGAAAACCATGATTCAGCCCTTTTTAATGAATTTGCAGAAAAAGGCAGGGTCTACCTAGTTTAGTGGCTGGAACATTCATCCATCCACACATCCATCCACCCATCCACTCATCAATCCATCTTTCAACAAATATCCACTGAGCATCTATAACGCACCAGGCATGGGCAGGGCCCTGAGAATACAGTGTTGTGCTAAAACAACCCCCTCAGTACTAACAGTCTGGTAGTGAAGACATCAGCTAGTAAAACACTTACATGTAAATGACCCAAGTATTATGAGGGAGTTCTGCAGGTGCCATGTGAGCCAATGGTGGGCAGCTTTGACCTGGTGGAGGAGCAGGGTGGCTTCCCTGGGGAGGGAACTCACAGCCCTGGGTATAACGGCATGGCAGACACTGCTGGTTGCATTTTCCCCTTTGCTTTTGTTCACAGAGCTCAGTTTTGTCAGCTGTTATAAATAGTCATAAATATTTGGCCCAAATTATTGAAAGTCCAATACATGGACTAATCTGATCCAGTTTTCTGGATCTTTTTCTAGCAAGCAAAAGCCACTGGCATGTTTCCCACTGCAGACTTAGAGTTTTGGGACCCAGGAAAACAGTACTTGCCTGTGTTGTGTGCATAGGAAAACAGATTCAGGAAGTCTGGTGCCGAGGCTGCCATGAACACCATTCCCTTTTTGCCATTTTCTGGATATCGGCATTTGTCTAGAAGGGCTGTTCTAAGTAAAGTCATATCAGTGTGCTCGTTCTAGCCACGAGTCCACTTTGCCCTCTTGCTTGGCAGCTTGCATGGATCACTGGTAATGAAGAGTCCATGAGGCTGCTAGGGGCTCTGTCATTGGCTTGGGGTTGGATACAAACTGGAGTCATGATCCGAGGCAAGTTCACACCCTTCGGGGCTGACACAGAAGGTGTGGGATGAGAGTCTTCCAGAGCTGGTTCTGCCAGTTACCGATTGATCAACTGTGGCACGTCTTTTTCTCTGAGTGTGAATTTCTTCTACGAGAAAGTGACAAGAGGGTATGTCTGCCCTGCTTTTCTCAGCCAATTATTGGGAGGATGAGCTGGATTAATATGTGAAATGCTCTACACTGTGGCAAGCGCTATGCAGGCACAAATCACCGTTATGAGTAAGGGATGACAACAGCTGCTTGGATCCCACCATGTCCCCCAGACTCTCTGGAGGTCTAATTCCAGATGGAGAAGTTATTCCTTTTCCCCTGCATGTCTTTTGATTTGCGAGTCCCAGCTCTAAGTGGACTCTTGGATACTGATGGGATGCCTTATGCTACTGGGAGCCCGGTGACTTCTGTGTGTGAGTGATGTGCTGAGCCCTCTCAGCTCAGGATCTGGGATAGGGTCTCTTGCTTCAAAAGGAGCCCACAGAATTGAGGGGCCATACAATGGAGGAAATGGGGCCCAAAGCTGACCCCAGTCACTCCTTTATTTGCAGGTGTCAACATAGAGAGCTTTGTGACAGAGTGGATGCATCTTTGGTCAGGGTTGGGCCCTTGGCAAAGCATACCAAGTTTGCCTTTCATCCCCCTTCACCTTCCCTTTGGAATTTTGTTCCTTCTACTCTTCTCTGTCCCTCCCTACCTAACTGGTGATTTTAGGCTTCCTCTCCAAAACTCCCCATTGCTAGTAACAGCCTCAGGTACTGCCTAATGAAACTTTCTATGATGATGAAAATGTTCCCTATTGGCTCTGTCCAATATAGTAGCCACTAGCCACCTGTGAACATTTGAAATGTGGTCAGTGTGACTGAAGAGCTGAATTTCAGAAGTTAGAAGTTATTTATTTCCAGTAAACTTACATGTAAATTGCCATGTGGGGCAAATGGTTAGTGTATTGGACAGTGTGGGTCTGGAGCTCAAGACCTCCATCGTTTCAATTTCTCTGCAGCAATCTAATGAATTTGTCCTGTGTCTGAATTCCAAGGCCTTCATCCTAGAGAAGTACCAATAAGCTACTCTGATAAACAGATTCTTATTCATAAGTTAAGGTCTTACCGTTCTAGGTCAGTGCATAGGTTTTGAGCAATGCCATACGTTAGTCAAAGCAGAGGCTCAAATGATAGGAGTTTGAAGGACTCTGGCAGGCAAACATGGAGGGTGAAAAGATTATAGGCACAGAGTTTCAGTCACACTTCAAAGCACACTCTGTGGAGGGCACATTGCACCACCCCGTGCCCTCCCACCCCCAACCCCCAGTGTCCTGGGCTGCTTCTAAACTCCCTTGCAGTCTGGAAAAAGTTAAGGTTGGAGTCGTGCAGATGGGAGCTTGGGAAAAGGCTGGAGGTGGAGAGTTGGAACAGGCAGAGCCCAGAGATGCCAAGCTCTTGCTAAGATGCCAGTCCAAGTGGTGTTCTGTTCCACCCTCAGGAGGAGGTGCCAGGGAGAGACTGTTAGGGAGGTCATTGGGACAAGAGCTGACAAATCAATCGTATGAAGTATCAAGACTCCACTTTACCAATGGAGAAACCAAGTTATATGGCTTTCCTCTGTATATACTACAGAAAAATGGGATCTAGACCCACTGAGACATTGGGACCAGTCAAAGAGACCAGACACCAGATTAAAGGCCACAAAATGGACAATGGCACTTTTGGTGGAGTCTTGGCCAGGAACTGTGATTCTAGGCTTAATTATAATCCTCTCTTTTAGGGAGATTTTCCCCTCTGAATTCCTTTATGAACATTGCTTTCTGGTTGTTCTTTTCACCCTGAAACTGAGCTGCATTTCTGTTTCTCTTGGATGATCAGGTAAGTGTTCTTGAATTCTTGCCTGTGTTTTCACAGATACTCATGGGTATCAGAAGCAGTTTTTCAAACCAAACACTAGGTTGAGTAAGGGGTGGAGGGTTGTGGGAGGTGGGTGCAGGGAAGGGAGATCGACCAGGGAGAAAAGAGGCACACGTGGAGATGAGCAGGAAATGCGTATACCAACCCTAGCTCTTTGGGATTTACTCTCGGGGCCTTGGCTCACCAAATGGTACCACATGGTAGATCTGCTCCCACAACCTCACCTGCTCTACACTCTCTGAGGAATGGGAAAAGGGATTTCCAGTTAAACCACTGCCAAGAATGGATGCCTATTTGTTTAAAAATATCAAATTTTATGAAGTAATTGGAGACTGAATCCCACATCTTTAGTGCAATGGTGTGGTCCATAAAATAAAAAAATAGCAGCCAGATCCCCCTGGTGCTTTGCAACACAGTTCAGACTACACAGTGCTTTTCTGGACCTCTCTGTCCTCATGAATGGAAGGACTACTCACAGTATTCAGTGCTACCCTGTTCTTCTTTGTTTCCATTCCATTCAAACAAATCCTCTGAGGCATCTGGCATCAAGGGGCAGAAACACAGAGAGGCTGGTTGTCTGGCTAGGTTGGCTCACCAGTTGTAATGTTATCAAATACTCCTGGGCAGGCTATATTATGCCACAGGGTCCTTCTGTGCCAGAGCATTTTGGCCACTTCTGTCTGAATACTATACATTTCAGTCCATTTGCATGAAAAACAGAAGTTCTTGTTGGGCTGAGGTAACTTAGAGTGGTGGTGGTCCATGGGGCTGATTGTGCTCCCCTCCATCCCAACTCAGGGGACATTTGGCATTATTTTATTATCACTACCTGGGGGACATTTTGTCCTTCCTGGAACCTTAGGCAACATCTGGGGACATTGCTGATTATTACAAGTATGGTAGGGTGCTGTCCTACTGGCATTGAGTGAGCAGAGATTAGGGATGATGTTAAGATCCCAGGGATGAAGAACCTCCATGACAAAGAATGATCTGGCCCAGAATGTCAACAGTGCTCAAGCTGAGAATCTCTGGGCCACAGGGAAAGCTCAGGTTTGGTTCTTAACATTGAAGTGCCCTATGACCCTCAAAAGGCTATCACTTTTTCAATTTTGGAAGACTAGTAAATATCCTGGGTGGCCTCAGGAAATCCTAGGACAATTTTGGCCACAGTTCTCTTTTACCAATGACCCAGTCAGTTTCATATCTTCAAGAGTTCTTAACTTCTTCTGAAAGAGAGAGTGCATTCTCAGGGTTACACAGTCACATTGGTCTCAGTGGGTCTAGATCCCATTTTACTGTAGTATATACAGAGGAAAGCCATATGACTTGGTTTCTCCATCGGTAAAGTGGAGTCTTGATACTTCATATGATTGATTTGTCAGCTGGGCCTGGCATCCTAGAGAGATGGAATGGAGGCATGGTATTTGAGTTGGGATGAAGGGGGAAAATGTGAGTTAAGTACTTCTACCCAATTCCAATGCCAAAACGGCAAATAGGGCAATGCCAAAATGGCAATAGGATACTGTAAGTAGGGGAGAGGCAACCAATAGTTTGTGAGATCCCAGCCAGCAGATTGTGCCTGGGACGCAGTGGGCCATGGGGCCATGAAATGATTTTGCTTGCCAATGGTAGAAGGAGAAGATCCAGGGCCTATCACATATGAGTCTTTCCATGAGGTCTGTCACTGGGCTGGGATGATGGAGACATGAAGCAGTGATGACATTAGGGCGCTGAGGGGGATACAGAAAGCTATGGCAAAAATTTACGTACAGCTGCTTGGGAAAATAAGAATAAACAGTATTTCTTTTCCTGATTTGAAAGTAAGACAATCATTGTTGAAAATCTCTCAACTATGGAAAAAACATAAGAAGAAAATAAAAATCTCTTGCACCACTAAGAGATGTCAGCTATTAATAGTTTTGGTATTTCCTTTTAGAAAAACAGAAGGTTCTTCTGAGCAGGACAGGCTGGGGGGATTGAAAAGATGTTTGAGAACAGCAGAATGAGACAATGTAGACATTGACCAGTTTGGAAGTATTTTCTCTCTGAGCCAAGATAGGTGAGTCCCAAGACAGGCGAGTTCCCGTCCTTGCCTGGTTGAAATGGACAGCAGGACAGACGGGCGGTGTGACAGAGGGACATGTGATCAAGTTCCCCTTACCTTCAGGGTTCATGTGGAAAGCTTCTGTAGCATTCACCTCCATGAATAGAAGGGTTCTTTAGCTGAAAGAGAAAATGACTCATTTTAGCTGAAGGATGACAAAGAGGAGAGATAATTTCTGACTCACTTAATAGCATCAGCATGACTGCATTCGATAGCCCTCGTTTTTTGGAATTAGTTTCTTGGCAACTTTATTATGAAGTAATTTCAAACTTACAGAAAAGTTGCAAAAATCATAAAAAAAGAAAATCCCATAAGCCCTTCACTCAGATACCCTAACAGGTAATATTTTACCATATTTAATTTATCACTTTCTTCTCCGTATACACAAATTGTTATTTTTCTGAATCACTTGAGAATAAGTTGCAGTCATGATGCCTCTTAACCCCTAAATTTTTCTGTATGTTTTCCTAAGTATAAGGGCATTCTCTTACCTTAACAGTGTGATGATTAAAATCAGAAAATTAACATTGACACGGTACTACTATCTAATCCGTAGATCTTACTCAAATGTTGTCAGTCATCCTAATTGGGATTAGATTTGATGAAATTTGGTCCTCGAGACCTTGAGTGAAGTTTATTGACAAATCCTATCACAGCCGTGGCTGAATTCGGGGATTTGGCCACGCTCACCTGAAGCTCAGATTTGATGCTGTCTCATGGGTTCACATGCGCGTTGGCAGAAGAATGCTTTTCCAAGTGGGACTAACTTTTGGTGAGGATAAGGTTGTTCACTGGGCTGTCGGGGGTGGGCTTGTGTCACTTGGGTCGTGCCCATCGGAAATCACAGTTCCCACTTTTCTCCGTCCAGTATACCTGGCTCCGGGTTTTGTATAGGACGTTCTCAACTCTGGGAACTGACTGGCCTCAGTCTGGGAGGCACAAGGTGACAACTGCCAGTAGTACGGCTCTGAGTTAGAACAAAAATGATTTCAGGACTCGAATACAAAATTGGCCCCTCTACGTCTGCAGTTCCTTTTTAAAATTTGCTTTGATATATGGACAGCAATTCCTAATTCAGTGCCCAATTTTGTCTTGTGCATTCCATGCTACAATAATCTAGCTAGAGTAGCGGACCAAACAATGCCTTCAAGTAAGTTCTATATCTTCAAGATTCAGAATCCTTACGACTATCCCTTGTGGAATCAAGTGCTGAATACTCTCCATGCTGACTCAGCTGATGGAGGAGAGAGTGACAAGGGGGGCCACTGAAGATCTCTCTCACACACCCCACTATCTCAGCATTACCGCTACTGGCAAAGTGAATGGAGAGCCCAGACGTCTTTGCAGTAAAAGCCTATGATGTGTTGAGATCCATTTGGACATGAAACAGCCAGCCGCAAGGCACTTGATAATGAGGTGTCTGGCAAATCTAGAGCCCGTAACACAAATGTCTGGGGCAGCTTTCTCAAAAGCCACCAGTTTCTCTCCATACGGTACAGTGATGCTGAATTTTTTGTTTTTTAAGACTCCGAACATTCTAGAATGCATTTTAGATTCTGAGAATAATTTCAGGACTTATAGCCCTCTCTTTGATAATGTCTTAGGTCTGTTCAGAAGAATCCAGACTCTTTTTACCCTCTTGCAGGAAACCCTGAGGGGTCAGCTGAGGCTAGGGAAGGGTGCAGAGGGTGTGGAGCACAGGGAAAGCCCTCCACTGGGGGTAGAAAGTCTGGAATGCCAAGAGGTAGCAGTGATGACTCTGGGACAAGAGACCATAAAAGAGATCATGGCCCCAACACTCATTTCTGCAGTTCGACAAACATTAACTGAACGACAGGCTTTGGGCTCACTTCATTCATCCAACTGTTTATTCGTTCAGCATTTATTAAGTGCCTGGCACGTCATCTAGCCTTGTCATCCTCTGCCCCAGTGCTGCACCTCCTCAGTCCTGCCCTGTGCCTTGTGGAGGTGACTCCGGTGGCTCTCGCCCTTCAGCTTCAGCTTGGGCTCCACCCACAGGAGGCAGAGGGTGGGGTTAGAGCACGTCAGGGTAGGATTTCCCTCCCTCCTTGCCTTCCTCGTGGCTTGGTCTTGGCAGTAGTTGTGTCTCTACCACAGCTCCAGTGGAGCAGCCCTCCTTCCATGGCTCCAGCTATCACCGGGTCCCAGCAAAATCCCTCCCCGCCATCCCCTTCTGTGGAGAAAGGGTGGTGACAAATTCCCTTGTTAGTTCTCTCAACCTTGCCCACAGGTATGTCAATGGGCTCTTGATTATAGTCTCTTAAAAATCCTAGCTTGAGCATATCATCTTCTTCCTGTCTGACGTTCTTCCTGTCCAGACTGCTCTGGACAGGCCGGAAAGATGTGAAGTTTTGGATATAGTTTCTAACACTAAGCTACGGCAGTGCAGGGTGGGGAGGCAGAACTTAACAGAAGCTCCTGGGGAAAATAATCTCAGAGATGTAGTCCTTTATACACTCTAGGATTACATGTCAGTCAAAGATCAACCTAATCTCCGGCCACATCATTAGAAGTATGGTATCCAGGACAAGGGAGGTGATAGCGTGCCTTCATTCTGCCTCCATTAGCTCCCACGTACAGTTCTATGCACAGACACGTTAATTGTGTTTCAAGGCCTGCCATATACAGCAGAGGTCAAAAACTTTTTCTTCAAGGGCCAAATAATAAATATATTTGACTTTGTAGGCCATAAGTTCTTTGTTGCAACTAGTCCGCTATTATGCAAAAGCAGCCACAGACAATGGATAAATGAGTAGGCGTGGCTGTGTTCTAACCAACTTTATTTACAAAAATAAATGGGTAGCTGCATTTGGCTTGCAAGTTTTACTTAGCGGACTTCTGATATATAGGGAAAAAAATCTTTTTTTTTTTTCTCTTTTCTGGGTGTGTCCAGAAGGCAAAAGTTGGATCAATGTATAGAAATCACAGAAAAGTAGATTTGTGCTAATTTTAAGGAAAACCTTTCTAATGGTGACTACCATTCCCAAGTAGAATGAGATGTTTCATGAGGCAGTGAGTGGGTTGCTCATTGTAAGGGTTTAAAAGAAAGGCTAAGTGTTGGAGAATAATTTTCCGCAAAGCACAAGAAGTAAGTCAGATGATGTGGGAGGCAACAGTTCCTCATATTCATATATACTCAGCATAGTACTGCCCACATAGTAGCTCCTCTAGATTTTATGTCCCTAGAGGGGAGAGATTCTGTCATTCCTATCCTTGCATCTTGAATTCCTAGTATAGTGTTTTAAACATGGCAGGTGTGGCTGATACATGTTTTGTGAGCTTGGCTCTGTAAGTAAAATCCTGCTGACAGATGAGTGAAACTAATTTGTCTTTAGTACAGTCATCACTACGAGTCATATTAAATTAGTTCAGTTATCTTTAATAAGCTTCAACATTTGAGGATTTTCACTGAAAAGAATGGATTTAACAGTCAACATTTATCGAGTTCTGAAAATATGCCAACTACTGTGCTAAGAACTTTAATAGGCATTCTCTTATTTAATTATCCCCCCAAACCTATGAGGGAGGTACCACTGTCATCCTATTTTACTGATGAAAAAACTGAAATTCAGAGAAGTCTCATAGCTGGTAAGTGGCATCACCAAAACAGGAATCTCTTTGATGCCTAAGGCTGTGATCCAACCACAACTCCATCCTGCTTCTCATTCATTCATTCATTCATTCATCCATCCATTCGTGCATTCATTATTTAGCAAACATTGATTGGTTGCCTGTTATTTGCCAAGTACTGTTTCTTAGGTTCTGAAGACAGAGCTGTGAAGATAAACAGATCAAGTCCATGCTCTGAAGGAATTTACATTCTGGCTGGGATTATAGCAGGGGTAGATGTACTATTAAATGAGGAGATATTAAATGGTAATTCATCAGAAGACACAGAGATTAAAAAGATAATAAATAAGTCTTGTCCAAACCAGAACTTCAGGGATAATCCCCTATTGGTGAATTTACCAAAGCTCTTTCTTGTTTACTGACATTACCCCAAGTTCAGTCCTTAGTCTTGATAAATTGTCAGATACACTCAGAGATTAAGAAAGAAGCTTCAAGCATTCTGGAAAATGATGTAGATCATATATGGCAATGTATACATGTATGTGTGATATGTGTATGAAGTCCCCAAAGGGAAAATAACCCAATAAAATATTCAAGAATCATACTTCATGGGCAGGTCGAATCTGAGCACCATTAAAATGGGAGACCAGAGGCAACAGATGGAAAGGGGTGGAAAGAGCTAGTCCAGTTAACACAAAAATAAAGAAGAGGGGTGCTTGGGTGGCTCAGTCGTTGAGCATCTGCCTTCGGCTCAGGTCATGATCCCAGGGTCCTGGGATTGAGCCCCACATCAGGCTCCCTGCTCGGCGGGAAGCCTGCTTCTCCCTCTCACACTCCCCCTGCTTGTGTTTCCTCTCTCTGTGTCTCTCTCTGTCAAATAAATAAATAAAATCTTAAAAAAGAAACCCATTTAAAAAAAATAAAGAAGAAAGATAATCCAGTTAAAAATGGGCAGAAGACATGAATAAATATTTTCCCAAAGAAGACATACAGATGGCCAACAGACCCATGAAAAGATGCTCCATATCACTCATCATTGGGGAAATGCAAATCAAAACTGCAGTGAGATATCACCTCCCACCTGTCAGAATGGCTAAAATAAACAACACAAGAAACAATGCAAATTGGTGCAGCCACTCTGGAGAACAGTATGGAGATTCCTTATAAAGTTAAAAATAGAACTACCCTACAATCCAGCAATTGCATTTCTAGGTATTTACCCAAAGAATACAGAAATACTAATTTGAAGTGATACATGCACCCCAATGTTTGTAGCAGCATTATCTACAATAGCTAAATTATGGAAAGAGTCGAAATGTCCATCGACTGATGAATGGATAAAGAAGATGTGGTGTATATATATAACGGAATATTACTCAGCTATAAAAAAGAATGAAATCTTGCCATTTGCAATGCAACAATGTGGTTGGAGCTAGAGTTATCATGCTAAGCAAAGTAAGTCAGTCAGAGAAAGACAAATACCATATGATTTCACTCATGTGTGGCATTTAAGAAAAAACAAGTGAAC